AGATATTTCAAAAACATTAATGTATGATTTTCATTATAACTATATGATTAAAAAGTTTAGTAAAATCAAATTATTGTATACAGATACGGATAGTTTAATATATCATATATTTACAAATGATTTTTACACTGATATAAAACCTGACCTTTCATCATACTTTGATACCTCAGATTATGATACAAATAATATTTTTGAATATCCAAAATTAAATAAAAAGAAATTAGGTTTTTTTAAAGATGAAAATAATGGTAAAATCATGAAAGAATTTGTGGGTTTACGATCCAAAATGTACGCTTTTAACTTAGAGAATAAGACTATAGCCAAGGCAAAAGGGGTAAATAAATGTATCACTAAAAAGATGACAATGAATAGTTATAAGTCTTCTCTATTTAATAAAAAAGTGCAATATTATAGCATGCTTAGATTTAAATCAATTAAACACACAATTTTCACACAAAAATTAAATAAGATAGGTTTATCATATAATGACACAAAGAGACATATTTTAGATAATAATATTGAAACATTAGCTTGGGGTCATTATAAACTGCGTTAAGTGTTGATAGTTTTTACTTTTATGTCTGCGTTTAAGAAAAATTTATATTGATTGTAAAATTATGATAATACTATAATATGACGTAGTTTATTACATATTTAAACATTGTTTTATTGTAAATAATTTAAGTTAATTGTTGTTTCTATTTATTTGAGGTTGAGTTAATTGTAAAATTATGATGTACTAATTGTTGTTTCTATTTATTTGAGGTTGAGTTAATTGTAAAATTATGATGTACTAATTGTGTTAGAAATAGTATACAGATAATTCTGTTTTATATAATTTTTGGAATATATATTAATTGTTTACACCAACACTTTCATTTTTTATTTCACCCCTTTGAACTTTAGACGTGTGTTATGTTTCACTTTATCCATCCGTTCACTGCTATTGTGGCAGGACCAAGTGGGTGTGGGAAGTCAAATTTTGTAACAAATTTCATAAAATCAGTTACAGAAATATGTAATTGTGATTTTAATCAGATCACATGGTGCTTTGATGAAATGCAACCATTATATAATTTACCAAATGTTAACTATCATCAAGGAATTCCAAATCTTAATATGTTTGATGGTGAAAACCCACATCTTGTTATTATTGATGATCTAATGAGAGAGTCCGATGGAAGAATTGTGGATATATTTACAAAAGGTAGTCATCACAGGAATCTTAGTGTATTTTATCTAACACAAAATTTATTTCATCAGGGTAAAGGACAAAGAGACATATCTTTAAACTCAAGTTATATAATATATTTTAAAAACCCTCGAGATAAAACTCAAATAAGATATTTAGCAAGACAAGTATCACCAGATAACCCAAAATTCATTGAAAATGCCTACAGGGATGCAACTCTAGAGGCGCATGGATATGTAATGGTAGATTTAAAACAGAATACCAATGATTTTTGTCGTATCAAGACAAATGTCTTTCCATTTAATGGTTTCTGTACAGTCTACGTCCCCACAAAAGAGTTTAAATACACCAAGAATCAAACAATTGAAATCATTGCTAAATGATGCATCGTCGACTCACAACGTATAAACATTTGCTAACCGCTTTGCATACGCTTAAACCAAAATATCAAAGAGCATTACTTAAAACGTGTGATGAAGAAGAAATTAACTGTATTTGTGAGTGTATTCATAACGTTTTACAAGGAAAAGTACCTCTTAAAGATCAGGATAAACAAAAATTGAATAAACATAAAAACATACTCCGTAAACTAGTACGTAAGTGTAAACATAAACTAAGAAAAAATATAATTATACAAAAAGGAGGGGCTTTCTTACCAACAATATTAGGTGCAATATTGAGTGGATTAGTGAGTGGACTAGCCAGTTAACATGGAAAATGCAAAGAAAATGATACTTATCGAACCTGGATTGATTGAAAAATTAAAACAAGAAAATAAGGTTAATAGTAATTTATCTCGATTAGATATTGAAATGCAAAATATTATGAATAGTAAGACGGAAGACCGAAAGAAATGGATATTATATTTACAAACACTGCAAAGATACCTTCATTTTACCGAAGAGGATCGTCAACCACTCAAATTACCAATTTATTCTGATACATCTAATGAAGATTCAAATGAGTCAAAAATTGGTTTTAAAAATAAAGATAGAGATCTAAAAACTTCAGTTGATATTGAATCTTTGCTGGAGGAGAATCGATCCATTAAAAGTAAAGAAAATGATGAAAATCCACTTTACACACCAGCTCAAATACTCAGTTTAATACCAAAAACTTATCATAAAAAAGGGCAGTTATTATTAAACTTAGTTGAAACAAGTAAAAGTAAAATACATTGGGATAACGAAGGTACAGTCATAATTGATAGTGAAAAAATTCCTGGAAGTAATATTGTTGATTTAATAAATGATTCACTAAGACCCCTAAAAAGAAGTGATCCGGTAGGGTGGGTTAGATTTGCTGAAGCATTAAAAGATATTAAAGTACCACTTACTTATATTGGAAATCCAAGGAGATGTGAGTTTATTAACCAACTTCAAGCAAAAGATCTGAACAAACCCTCTGAGATTGAAGTTCAAGAGTTTTCTACACCGTGCAGTAGAGATAAAAAGTCTACAACTAAAATACGTAAAGGACTTGAGTGGGAAAAATGGACTCCGTACTAGAAGAAATTAACAGGATTTATTATGATCCATCTAATCCCGCTGGTTTTGGTAGTATTGATAAATTATCAAAAGCCATGAAGGGTAAAATGAATAAAAAGCAAGTAAAGGAATGGTTAAAATCACAAGAAACATACACATTACATAAACCCATTCGAAAAAAATTCCCGCGTAATAGGTACATTCTATCAAATATTAATGAACTGTGGCAAGCTGATTTAAGTGATATGCGAACTTATTCTCAATATAATGATGGTTTCAAGTATATACTTTGTATTATTGATGTATTTAGTAAATATGCTTTTGCAAGACCAATGAAAAAGAAAAACTCAGAAACAACTAAAGAATGTTTTGAAAGTATATTTACTGAAAGTAATTTAACACCTACTCACATACAATCCGATAAAGGTACAGAATTTGTTTCAAAAGATGTACAAAAATACTTTAAATCCAAAAAGATTAATTACTATACCACTAACAATCCTGACATTAAGGCCAGTATTGTTGAACGATTTCAAAGAACACTAAAAATGAAAATGTGGCGTTATTTCACTCATAATAATACTTATAGATATATAGATGTTTTACAAGATTTAATATACTCTTATAATCACAGCTTTCACTCTAGTATTAAGATGTGCCCATGTGATGTAAATTCCAACAATATTATGACAGTTTGGACTAATCTTTATGATAGACGGTCAAAAAAACTTTCTTTAGAAAATCCTAAACCAAATTTCAATGTGGGTGATTATGTTCGAATAACTAAATATAAACATGTATTCCAAAAAGGATATGAATCAAATTGGAGTGATGAAATATTTATTATATCTTCAATAATTGATAGATCTCCATGGGTTGTTTATACAATAACAGATTTACAAAATGAACCAATAATTGGTACTTTTTATGAAAGAGAATTACAGAAAATCACTTACAACCCCACCTCACAACATAAAATAGATAAAATAATTGACACTCGTTATTCAAGTAACAGAAAAGAAGTATTAGTGAAGTGGAAAGGTTATCCAGATAAATTTAACAGTTGGATTTTAGCTTCTAGTTTAAAAGAAATATGAATAAAGAAAGTTTCTATTTAACTTTGCTCAGCAATAGTTCAATGGAATACTTTCCTGATAACAAGACCACAAATTTTTCAACGAAATTACCAAAAGCTATAAAATTAGAAGGTGAATGGTCGGTTGGAGTTGTCGAGTTTCAATATCCATGTACCATGTTTACTGTTCAAGACCATGAAAATGTTATATACATTACAAAATCTATGTTAATGCCTAATGAAGATAAGCCATCCACAGTGTACTACAAAAAACATATTCCAGCTACCAACTATGATAACGTTGAGCATATTTTAAGAGTGTTAAATGGCATCGGAGAGAACTTGAAATTTCGCTATGATGAAATAACAAAATTTGTGTCTATTTCGGTATTGGATAAAAATATAACATCCGTAACATTATCACCCAAATTAAGTTTACAGCTAGGTTATGAACCAAATAAAAATCTCCTAGAGAGAAATTTTGGAAAGTGTCCTGCTAATTTACACTTAGGGTTACCATCTCAACTATTTCTATATTGCGACATTATCGATCCTCAGATTGTGGGTGATGTTATGACTCCTTTATTAAGAGTCATTTCATTAGATCCTACAAAATACATTTATGGTGCAAATAAAATGCACGTTTTCTCTCAACCTCACTACTTACCTGTTATGCGAAGAGAGTTCGATACGTTGGAAATAGTTATAAGATCGAGTACAGGACAAAAAATACCATTCCAGTTTGGAACCGTGTGTATTAAACTACATTTCCGAAAATTATAATAATGAATTCTCTTCGTGATCATCATAAATGTCCATATGAAAATTATTATACACATCAAGCTGGATCAGGAGTTGGAGTAATTTATAAGGGTTCACCATATCAACGCGGTCATGGTATTGGGAGCTTCTTAGGGGGGTTATTCAGATCAGTTTTACCTTTACTTTCAAGTGGTGCTCGAGTGATTGGTAAGGAGGCATTAAGCGCTGGAGTAGGACTTTTATCGGATATGGTTCAAGCCCGTCCTATGGAAGCCTCAATAAAAGATCGTCTAAAGCAAGTTAGTACGAATTTAAAACGAAAGGCTGATGAGAAAATTGATCAATTTAACATGACTGGATCTGGGTATAAAACTAAAAGAAAACGATTGACATCGTTCATTCCACCATTAACTGCTAAAGTGAAAGCTGCGAAAAAACTTAGTCTAAAACCAAAAAATATCAAAGATATATTTTCAAACTAAATATGTCTTTCCTTCATAATCATTCTTGCGAGTGCGTTAAGTCAGAATTGGATTTGTTTGCACTACCGTCTACACAAACTAGCATTGAAAATGGATTGTGGATTCATTATAAACCAATTTCATCTCTTGGTGATGATGGACCTATCGAGTTTCAAGTTCCTGGGACCGGCGATGACTACATAGATTTGTCTCATACATTACTCCACATAAAGGCAAAAGTATTAAATCAAGATTCAACTAACTTGGTATCTACTACAATAGTAGCACCTGTAAATAATTGGCTGCATTCACTTTTTAGTCAACTTGATGTTTATTTAAACCAAAAACTTGTATCACCACCTAATAATACCTATGCATATCGAGCATACATGGAAACCCTTTTAAACTATGCCCCTGCTGCTAAACAATCTCATCTTACTTGTAGTCTTTGGTATGAGGATACAGCAGGAAAAATGGATTCTACAGATGGTAAAAACATAGGATTTGTTAAAAGACAGGAATTGATTAGTGAAAGTAAGGAAATAGAAATGATTGGTCATCTTCACGGTGACATTTTTAACCAAGATAAATTTTTAATTAATGGTGTTGAAATGAGTGTTAAATTGGTTCGATCAAGAGAGAGTTTTAATTTAATTGTTGGGTCGAACGATGTAAAGTTTAAAGTTTGCATTACGGACGCAACTCTTATTGTGCGACGAGCACGAATTAATTCAAGTGTATTACTCGCACATCAAAAAGTTTTAGCTTCTACCACTGCTAAATATCCTATTACTCGAGCTGAAGTAAAAGTTTTAACAATTCCTTCAGGTGTTCAAGGGAAAACTCTTGATAATATATTTTTAGGACAGGTACCGAAAAGATGTATAATTGGATTTGTGAACAATTCTGCATTTAATGGTTCCCTTACTAAAAATCCATTTAACTTTGAAAACTATGGTATTAATTCTTTCAGCTTATATATTGATGGTCAACAAATACCTTCAAAAGCTTTGCAACCATCTTTTAATAATAGCATATTTACATCAGCATATCATACTCTATTCTCGGGAACTGGTATTCACTTTCTTAATGAAGGAAATGGAATCTCTTGTGAACAGTATGGCAAAGGTTACTGTCTATTAGCATTTGACTTAACTCCTGATTTATCAGCTAACTCATCAACTCATTGGAATCTCATAAAGCATGGTAGTGTAAGAATAGAAGTACGATTTGAATCCTCATTAATACAAACAATTAACTGTATAGTTTATGCTGAGTTTGATAATATTATTGAGATAGATAAAAACAGAAATGTTACTGTAGACTATAGTAGTTAAGGTTATAATATGTGTTGTGTGTTAGATTTTATGTGTTATGTGTAATGCATTTTGTGTGTATGTAACTATGTGAAACGTTATAAAATTAAATAAAACAAATTGTATGCAATATATTTTTTTTATTTCTTTATAAATCTTCTATTTAATCTAATACAAACACTGTTCGAGTTGAAATTTTACATAAGCACACTGACTAAACCACTGAACATGCTGCTGCCAAGGATCATCATCATCTTCCCAATCTTTTAAACCACCACCACAATGGAAACACTTGGTCCCGTCTGCATGGCCAGTATAAAAGAAACCAGCTTCGGCAAGATCTTCAGGTTTCTGTCGCATAACTAGAGGCCAGTTTTCGAAACTAAGCAAACGGCTAGATTTTGAACTGAAGAATGGATATTCAGCTCTTGAGTACTGCATACTCTTCTCGTTTTCTTCTCCACTCAGTGTTGTAGTTTTGTTATTCAATGATGTGTTTTGTACACGTATGCCACACTCATCTCTTCCTTCCGCTCTTGTCTTGCTGTAATTGAAGTAAACAGAATCACATTCACTAATGATCAGCTAATGACTGTCATTGTTAAAAAAGTATTTTTTAACTTTTTCACTTTCTGCTATTGTCTTTGTTATATTGTATACGAGGGCGTTTGTATTGTTGTAGATGCTATCCTTATTAGTCTTTACGTAATATTTAATTCTAGTGCAAGCATGTTTCCAATGATCAGTAGTTGGAATCTTGGATAGCTTCTTCATATCGTACATTTCAATTTTGATGAGATGCGTCGCTTGGTCTCCGTCGTCAGAATTAGTAGAAATGTATGATACACCATCTCTAGCGGCTCGTGCTACGGTTGATGATAACAGCTTCCTCTTTTTTATTTTTGATTCAGCTTCAAAAAAATGATCAATCGATTGCGATTTTCTTTTTCCACCATCGCATGTGTTATTATTAATGACGAGGTTATCACTCTCTTCTTGAGGGGAGAGTGGCGAGTAGTAATACTGTTTATAGGTATCTTCATCGAAGCTCAATGATTTCTGCAACAACACAGTTATCATGTTAATATCAATTTGTTAACACTTAATCATAAAAGTTAAAAAAGTTAAAGTTAACAGCCTATTAAAGTCCACTGCTGAACATAGGCCTCCTCTCATTTCTGAGAGGGTTTTAGAGCAAGGAAATGTCCGCCGCGCTCTCTCAATGTGTGTTGGTGAACTTCACATGCCATCGAAATTTTCTCAGACATGCAGGTTTCCTCACGATGTTTTCCTTCACCACCAAGCACGTGGTAATAAGCACTTAAAATTGCTATTAACAATTTAATTGGTGCTGGCGGGGATCGAACCCGGGTCGCGTACTGTGAAATTTACAGCTAGCGCTAACCATCTGAGTTACCACGGCTTAATCATATACATACACAATATTTAAATAAAATAATACACACACACATGAAAATAACAGAAAAAAAGTAATTTAGTCAATAGAATAAACACTTACATCCATAGCCTTTGGTGTATTGAAGTAACACAAATGTACTATTGATAGATCCACTGTAGCCAAACGACCGTACACTAACTCGATGACTGCGTTTGTTGGTCTTATATACCACCAGTACGTAAAAATTCTAATCTAAAGTATTTCCGTAATGAGTTGATAATTACTTTATGCGTCAACCAGTTTATCTCACATTTCCGTTGCCTATCTCAACATTTCTTCGTATTGTGTTTTGTTTGGTGATCAATGACTCAAGTACGATTTGTATAACACAAAAATGCAATTTAATATTTAGAAACATATCAGTTTATCTCACATTTCCGTTGCCTATCTCAACATTTCTTCGTATTGTGTTTTGTTTGGTGATCAATGACTCAAGTACGATTTGTATATCACAAAAATGCAATTTAATATGTAGAAATCACTATAATTGACCATTCCTATGTTATTCATTGAGTAGCTAGGTACTGTAATAATCTACTAATAGCAGTAATATCATGGATACACTAGATGTACAACAACATCTGAAAAAGATTCACCCCAGTCTAGAAAATAATGTTTATGCAGCTAATAGACTGCCTATGTATACCCACGTACCAACGTATATAATATGTAATTTGGATACAGATGATAAACCAGGGTCACATTGGGTAGCTTTATATATCGATACGAATGACGTCGGTCAATATTTTGATTCATATGGACGATCACCTGTACGATATCATCTAGAGTTTTTAAAAAGGAATTGTAAAAGATGGAACTGGAATGTTGATAGGATTCAGAATGAGTGGACTTCAGTTTGTGGCGAATATAGCTTAATGTATTTACTATATAAGTTTCAAGGATGTTCAATACATAGTTTTACGAGTATATTTACAAGGAACACATTGTACAACGATATTTTAGTGGATGAGATGTTTCGCTCCTATTTTATAGATAATAATTAATAAGATTTTGTATTTTATAAATAAAAATTGTAACAAAATTATGTAATGTGTTTTATTGATGATTCAGATTAGCGTTGTATAAACAAAGAATTATAATAAACAATAGCACTGATATAGTCGACGCACACGCTGCAATGAGGGTGATTAATGAACAATAGAACAATAGAAATAGGAACAATGGGACGCTAATGACGGTGGAGGCCCTTACCGGATATCAATTAGATATTAGGTAATTGATCTACACATCTCCGGAACCGTGCATTCTACACAAAAATGGACCGCGGATTCGTGATCAGAGCATGCCAAAACCTTTTTTTTTTTTTGTTTTTTTTTTTTTTTTTTAGGATCGGGCGTCGACGAACGTCGTTGAACCACGTCTGACTCAGGTGGTCTAGAAGTGGTACAACTACACTACTGACATTCTATCCTTTTTATCTTTTAAATTCAAAATGCGTGTATTTTATCTGATTGTCATTCATAAATATCTATTTTACTACTCACGTACACATTCACTCGGTCGCTCGGTCGGCAAAAACCTAGTGAATTGAATCCCACACAGAGGAGCGCGCGTACGCGTAGTTGTTGCCCATAAATCACATTAAATTTGGGATAATTTCAAATAAAAGAAGAAGCCTTATTTACTCGTATTTTTAAAAACTGCAATAACGGTATATCATTATTTATATATTTGAACTTAACTTTAAAATTTGGCTACTCTTTGAAAAATAAACATGCATATAAAAATCAATTGCTGGTCTCGCTAAAACTTAAAAACGTCTGGACCGGTTTTGACGAATTTTTTTGTGTGTCAAATACATACACAATGGGTCCTTAGATGGTTTGGATTCACATTTGGTCCCGGTAGGTGGCGCCGTTGTCGAGATCTAGAAATTACCCGTGCGAAGCCGGGGCGGATCGCTAGTAATTAATATTTATATAAATTTAAGAGACGCCCATTTATTATATACAAAATGGGGGAGGCATTACAGTGTCAAACAGTGAATGTGAGCTTTTGCGTGTAAAATATTTATTATTGGTATAGAGTGAGAAATGGCGTGATCACAGAAAAGTGACCAGGATTAAGAAAGGAATGCTTCAGTGGTCTGGACACGTGGAAAGAAAGAATAAGGAAAAAGCGACAAAGCAAATTTATCATGGAATAGTAGTGATTGGCAGAATCGGCTAAGAAAAAGCTGGCTATATTTTTTAGATGGGTAAAATTAAAAGTACCCTTAACCGAAGAGCATGTATGCGTAGAAAAAGGGATGTGAAAGAAGATAGGTGTGTCAGGATCGTACTTAAGAAATAGAAGTCGGTAGTATCTGCTTAACCCTCTGGGTGACAGGCGTGATAGTTTATGTATTGGTATAGACTCTTCAGTTTATTCTGGTTGATACAATGTATGTGCAGTTTGAAGTTTTTTATGTAAATTTGGTATAACCTGTAACATACTTAATTTCGACTAAAGTAATACAATATTTTAAAAAGCGCTATATTATTTAAGTCAAATATTTTTAAGCGGACATTTTGTTCTTAATTATGTAAAAAGACAATAAGCCAGTGTTCTTAATAAGGTCAATCTAATTGAAGCGCTGGAAATTTAATTACGTCGATTCAGTCAAAGTTATTATTCCAACTTTTTTTACATTAAATAACGAAATTAATTGAATTACGTAGCGTTTATAATTAGAACACACAAAAATTTAAAACATCATTTTTAATAAAGGTGCGGTTTCATTCGTGAGAAATTCATGCAACAAAATTAAATTTTAAATTTGTTGTTGCTTAGGTTAGATAGTGCGGCGGATATCGTATGGTAGTATTTTTAGTTTATTACATAAATGGCAAAGTTATTCTTTTATATTTCTCTTAATACACCGGCCCATCCTTTCTATTACGTACAATGTAATAATAACTTGGAAATGAATAAGTTCTCACACTTAATATAATCTAAATAAATCGTCTCACAGCATAAAATACCAGCACAATGTAACAGTATTTTGTAATATTGTCAGTGACTAGACCTTGAGATCATTTTTCCTAGCGACGGGCACTCCATCTTATTATTCTATGTATATAACATACGTAAATGTTTCCATAAACATGGTTACATGTGCCCATGCACATGTAACCAGGTGGATTATGTGATCGTTTGTCACCCTTAGGTGTTGGACACAGGTCTCACTTATAGTTGTTCTATCATCATCATCATCATCATCATCATTACAGCCCTTCATAAGTCCACTGCTGAACATAGGCCTCCCCCAAGTAATGCCACAAAGCACGGTCCTGAGCCACCTGCCTCCATCGACTTCCTGCATATCTTACCAGGTCGTCACTCCATCTAGTGGGGGGACGCCTTACACTTCGTCTCATACTTTGACAAACACGGGATGATATGACGTAGTGAATTCTCTTACGCTGTCACTCGCGGTTATATAATTTGTCAATATAATATAAAAGAAATATTTTATGATATATTAAGGAAGTAACTGAATAATGCAACACGTTGCTTCCCCACCAATCATTAACTCCGTATAATATAAACAGACGTCAAA